CCTGGTCAAAGCTATATGCTCACAGTAGGAGTGAAGAACCACATTGGAGCCACAGAAAGGTAGATGACTCACCATCCAACTCAGTGGAGTAATGGCTATGACAGCTCTAATGGTGATGGTCACACTCATTCCCAGCATCACTTGAGGTATGAAAATTCTCTTTTAGTGCAGGGGCTTGCAGATGGCTACATAGTGGTCAAAAGCCATGGCCAGCAGCAGGCCTGTCTCCACAGCTGTGGCTAAGTGAACAAAAAACAAGCATTAAAGCTGATGGAGCTGTCTCCTGAGTAGAAGATGTTCACCATCTTGGGTACCACTGAGGAGGCCATAACCATGTCCACAGCAGCCAGAACACACAGAAAGCAATACATGGGCTCATGTAGAGCAGAATTCATCCAGATTGCAGTCACGATGAGGGTGTTTCCTACAGGGCTATGATGTACACGGTGCTTAATGAGATAGCCAGCCAAAGATGTGAAGATTGCAGTCCTGGGATACCCACAAGGATGAATGAGGCAGGGTTTCCATTGTGTGGTTGTAGGCTGGACCCAGGATCACAGATGAGACTTCTTGCCTATTGTATAAATAATGTAAGAGAAGAATGCAGTCCATCAGGATTTATTCCCATATGTGATGATAGGAAAGCAGAGGGATATCTCAGCTTGGTGGTATTCTTAGGATCAGAAAAGGGACGTCTAATAAGGTTATCCTGCTCTACCTTTCATCCCTTTCAGTATTCTTTGCCTTAAAACTTACTGTTCATTGAAGGATTAGCTCGAGGGTTACCTCCATTAGGAAGTCTGTTTTCTTCCTCCCCTATTCCATGTGCAGGCTGTTAGTTACCTTTCTCTGAGCTTTGATGCAATCTGCCATAGTGACCTCCAATGGACTAAATTGACAATTCTAAAACTCTACCTATGACTTTATGGTATACACTTAAGTGCATGTATATTGTTCATGGCCTTATAGCAAAGATATGATTCATAACTGTGGTCTTAAGTCTCTTAAAAGATACTACGCCTCAAGATTAGGCCTATTTTATCACTTCCTGTGCCTCTCCTAAAAAAATTTAAAAAGTCTTCCATTATGAGAAGGTGCCATATGCCTACACTTAGATACTGTCTCTAGTGACCCATTTTTAACTTCTTATTAGAAATGTGGCTCCTCCTTGAGTAATGGGGTAGATTAGATTAATGGATTCTGTGCTTGTGATCCCATTTGCTGCAGTAGACATTTTCTCTGTTAAATAAGAACTAGACAAGCATTCGCAAAGTTCTCAATCCTAATCATGGAACATATATTTGCCCCTTCCTTTTACCTCCTAGAAAGCTTAGCACTGATTGTGTCCACACCCAGGTGCCAGCAGCAACCATAGTGGGAGTCCTCAGGAGTCTTTTAGAAAGACAACTTTCTGGGATATGATTGCAAACTGTGTTCCTTATGAAACAAATCAAAATCCCTAGGCTTAAGATATGCTACATCATAGAAGAGATAGCATACAGTACTTAGCTCCACATCACAGTCAGTTTATAGGAGGCTTACTGTCTAGAGATACTGAGTGAGACATCTTCAGTGACAGAGCATGAGAAGATGAGGAAAGCTGTTGAAGTAGAATGGTAGTGAAGAGTGAAAGGAAAATTCAGGAGATCCTTGAGACTGCTACATGTGTTCTGGATGCCACAAACTCAGGGTTCAGCATTATTTTACAAGTACTGTAGAAAAGCTCAGGGATCCAAACAGCCTCTTCCCCGCTCACCTCTGATTCAGGATGTTCCTCCCCTGGCTGCCCTGTGTAAATTCATCTTTCCTTAGAAGGCAGCCTCAGCGGATGTTGCTGCATTGCTCCTCTTGCCAGCCCTGGAAATTCTAAACTGGGCATGCCTTTCATACCCTTGAGTGGGCTTTTCTTTTTAATCTCCATTTACTTTTCTTCTCAATTCACATTGTTGGAGATTTACAATTGTTGTCAGTCTTTGCAAAGAACAAGGTACTTGGTTTGGTTGGTTGCTTCTTTTTCTAAATGTTTACTTCAGTCAGCCTATTGATACTTAAAGTTTTCTGGCTAAGATCAACAATGATCTCCATCAAGGATCTGTTGCCAGTCCAGTGACTGTTTTTCTTTATTTTACTTGACATCTCCAAAACATTTAATACAACTGCCTGTTTTCTGATTTTTGGTTAACTTTTTAAAACACTATGAACATACTATAAAATGCAAAAATGTGAGGCATATATCCTTATAAATAATTATTATTAGAAGACAGGAAGACACACATATCTAGACACCACAATGTGTACTGAGATCAAGATAGACACACTGTTGTTCTCTGGTTGTTAAGGTTTACTGTTTTCAGAATGTTTTGGCCAAGTTCAACTAAGACATTTCAGTACTGCACCTGCCTTTGCCTTCATCCTGTGAGGACACTCACAGGCAGACCTGGAGGGTCAGTCACTGAAAACCAACTTGGAAAAGTTCTTTAACTTCAATAACCTATGATTTACAAACCATAAAATATGTGAGGATTTTTCATTCCTATTAAAAGGATAGACAATGCATAATTGAAATTGAAACTCTATTAATGGTAAAAGATCTAATAACAACACATTTGAATGGGGCCTGTCTTGTTTATGGTAATTCTGAGTTATTCTGATCTCTAACTGAACTGCTCCCATCCAGCCCTACTGTTTGAGTTCCTTTCTCATAACTCTACTTAGTTTCTTAAAACTGTCTCTCCACCATGCCAATATTGTGCTTTCTTCTTCCCTTCTCTGCTTTCAAAGTAATGTATGTCCATTCTCCCTCCAACCTTTCCTATTCAGCTATCATTTTCATAAGCTCTTGGTATCAGCAATACCCAGCACACCTGACCAGTCCTGTACAAAAGGAGAGGGGGCTTATATTTTCCACTCTGGGGTGACCTGACCTTCATACTCTGTCAGCCCAGCACCAATGCCCAAGTCAGTTACCCATAGTCCAAGAGTTTCCTCTGTTTAACTTTCTCTAAATGTGACCTCATAGTCCACATTTCTTTCATGCAAAAGAAGAGGGGTTAATACAGGACACCTTGGGAGGAGCAGAAAGAGCAAACAAAATCAAATATAAACAAACAATGGAGAGTCATAGTGTCTTTTCCAAAAACTTTTCACTGGGGTGACTCTCTATTCCCTCTGGATACTTAATCATCCTGCATTGTCCCTGGATACCCATTTTCCCGTGGCCTCTGCCCAGCAAACAAATATTGCAACTCCTCAAGAGACTGGTTTTTCTTTGTGTTCTGGACCCTGGGGATTTCTACATTGTAGAAGGAAGCAAATGCTTAATGGCTGAGGAGTCTTTGTTTCTTCAGGTCCTCAAAGGATACCTAAAAGTTCGACTAAGAGTATAGAGTGCATCCTGGGAAAACCAAAGACTCATGATTGGTAGGATTTGTGAAAGCCCACTATGTGCCTAGCATCCCAGTAAATGCTTTTTTCAAATATTATCTTAGTCAGTTTTCAGAACCTCCTGAAGTAGCTGCCATCATCACATTGACATCTTTTTTTTTTTTTTGCAGGTTTGATTCTTAGCCTGTATTCTTTTTTTTATTATTATTATTCCATTTATTTTATTGCATCTTAGGTTTTGGGGTACATGTGAAGAACATGCAAGATTGTTGCATAGGTACACATGTGGCAGTGTGATTTTCTGCCTTCCTCCCCTTCACCTACATCTGGCATCTCTCCTCTTGCTATCTCTCCCCAACTCCCCACCCCCCACCATCCCTTCCCTATTTCCCCCCACAGACGCCAGTGTGTAGTGCTCCCCTCCCTGTGTCCATGTGTTCTCATTGTTCAACACCCGCCTATGAGTGAGAACATGCGGTGTTTGATCTTCTGCTCTTCTGTCAGTTTGTTGAGAATGATGGTTTCCAGGTTCATCCATGTCCCTACAAAGGACACAAACCCATCGTTTTTGATGGCTGCATAATATTCCATGGTGTATATGTGCCACGTTTTCCCTGTCCAGTCTATCATCGATGGGACCTAACACCATAAAATCCCTAGAATAAAATCTAGGCAAAACCATTCAGGACATAGGCATAGGCAAGGACTTCATGACCAAAACACCAAAAGCATTGACAACAAAAGCCAAAATAGTCAAATGGGACTAATTAAACCCCACAGCTTCTGCACGGCAAAAGAAACAGTCATTAGAGTGAATCGGCAACCAACAGGTTGGGAAAAAAATTTTGCAGTTTACCCATCTGACAAAGGGCTAATATCCAGAATTTACAAAAAATTAAAAAAGTTTTAAAAAAAAAAAAAAAAAAAAAAAAAAGCACATTGACCTCTTATAGATGAAGCTAAGGTTCATAAGGGTCACAAAACTAGTAAGACAGAGAGTCAAGATCTAAATTCTAAAAACCATAATTCATTTCACTTTATTGTAGAACTATTCACCCTGATAGTGTATTTAATATCTCAAAGCCGAGCTCACATTTCCTCAGTTCTGCCTGGGAACTCAGGCCAGGCTTCGCTGGTTAAATGTTTCCCATGATGTTATAATGTCTTGTTGAACAGAGAAGGGAAATGGGATGTAGGACAGAGCAAGGAAGATGAGTTTTTCAACTGGATATAGGACATGCACCTGAGCACAAAAGTATGAGAACAGGGCTATTCTCAGCTTGGGAGTATTGCAGGATCCAAATAAAATGACTTCTAATGCTGTGCTACTCTTCATCCTTCTTACACATTTCTATTCATTGTTCAAGGATCAGCTTTTAAGTCACCTCCTTTGGACTTGTGTTCTGCTCCAAATAGAGTATAAACATGTTCTCCAAACAGAGATTAAACCAGAGTTGGTAGAGTCAGGGGACTTGAAAGGGATTGAAAAATACAAGAGACTAGAAGGGTGTAGAGGCCATGTTTTAAAGATCATGACTTCTGCCTGGGCATCTTCTATGGGAAGGAATAAAATTGGGAGAAAAGAGTCAACAGGCACAAGCTATAATGTTTCTTGTATTATTTTAATGCAAAAATGCATAACTATTTGGAAATATGAAAGACTAAGAAACACTGTTTTATGCTCTCAGTTCCCCAGATCCTAAGTGGACACATAGTAGTTCATGAAACGAATGGTGACTGGTCTTTTTGTTGTCTTTTATTTTGAGGGATGATGAGGGGGAAGCCAGAATAAGATCTGTGCCTTGTCAGGCTAACCTAACAATTGCTAAAGATTAGGTGGACTTAAGTTCCACCAAATCTGCATTCTCTACCAAAACTTATCTCTGATTCAGATCAAGTTGATTGAATCCACTGAAACTTTCAGAAAATCAGAAGCATTTCATTCACACTCCTCCTAGTAATTGAAAAGCTATGCAAAGATATCCTTTACACCTTATCTTAGGATTCCGAGGTAAACCAATCCAGCTCCACAGATCCCTAAGACATCTTTCTTTGAAGTTGGCTTCAGATCTGAACAGATATTATGTTCATGAACCCAAGTTGGAGTGATCAAAGAGGAAGTGCTTCAGATAACTCCATATTCTCTCCCGCAATTGTTTGGTCCTCATGCCATAGATGATGGGATTTAAGGTGGCTGGGATAATCAGGTACAGGTCAGCTAGCAGCACTTGGGTGTGCAAGGGCACTACATCCTGCCCCAGCCAGGCCGCATAGATGGATGCCATTCCAGGTAGATAGTACAAAGCCATAACCCCCACGTGGGAGCCACATGTGCTTAATGCTTTCAACTGAGCATTCTTTGAGGAGAGCCCAAATACTGCCCTGAGAATCAAGACATAGGAAGCAGCAATGAAGGCCACATCAGAGCCCACCATAATAGAGGAACCTATTAGACTGTAGAGACTACTGGGCATGGGGTCTGCACATGCTAACCTGGCCAAAGCTAAGTGCTCACAGTAGGAGTGAAGAACCACATTGGAGCCACAGAAAGGTAGATGACACACCCAACTCAGTGGAATCATGAATATGACAGCTCTGATGGTGATGGTCGCACTCATTCCCAGCATCACTTGAGGTGTGAGAATTCTCTTGTAATGTAGGGGCTTGCAGATGGCTACATAGTGGTCAAAAGCCATGGCCAGCAGCAGGCCTGTCTCCACAGCTGTGGCTAAGTGAACAAAAAACAAGTATTAAAGCTGATGGAGCTGTCTCCTGAGCAGAAGATGTTCACCATCTTGGGTACCACTGAGGAGGCCATAACCATGTCCACAGCAGTCAGAACACACAGAAAGCAATACATGGGCTCATGTAGAGCAGAATTCATCCAGATTGCAGTCACGATGAGGGTGTTTCCTAACAGGGCTATGATGTACATGGCGCTCAGTGAGATAGCCAGCCAAAGATGTGAAGATTGCAGTCCTGGGATACCCACAAGGATGAAGGAGGCAGGGGTTTCCATTGTGTGGTTGTCGGCTGGACCCAGCATCACAGGTGAGACTTCTTCCCTCTTAATAAAATAATAATGTACAAGAAGAATGCAGTCCTGTAAGATTTGTTGATACATGTGGTCCTGGGAAAACCTAGGGATATTGTGAGCTTGGTGGTAATCTCAAGATAAAAAATGTGGCATCTGACAAAATTATCCTGTGCCACTTTCTTCATCCTTAATATCCTTGCCTTACAGATTTTTATTCATTATTCATGGATCAGCTCATGGCTTACCTCCTTTGGAAAGCCTTTTCTGCTTTCTTTCTTTCCTGTTCCATACCCTTTCTTCTGACCTTTCATGCAATCCATCATGACCTCAGAGAGACTAAACTAATCATTGTAATGATCTCCCTGGACTTTATCATATGCACTTAGGTGTATGTCTCTTGTTTGTGATCTTATACCAAGGATATAATCCATAATTGTGGTCACAAGTCTACTAAAATAAGTCTATTAATGTATATTTATTACAATAAATTTGCCACAGAATCAAGGATAAGCAGAGAAATGAATCTGTCTTTCATCTCTGTATGCTGTTACTAATTGTATAAACAAAAACTTCCTGAGGTCAAACATATCATATTTTTTATGCTTGATACAGCATCTATAAAAAATATGAAGGAAGTGTCCTTGTGAAGAAATACATGAATGAGTTGGAAAAAATTATGTCATTAGAGAACAACATAGTCACCTTCCATAAGAGATAATAAACTATCTGGAAGTCTTACCTTATCTAAACTTTGTTTTGAATATCCTGTTCACTTAGGTTCAAGTAATAGATTAAATTACTACAAAGAAAACCTTGGGGCTACCTTATAGATAAACTTTCCCCCATAAGCTTTTATGATTTTTCAATCAGCTAACTCCTTTTTCCTGATAAACTACCTAAACATTCCAGGCAACAAGAAAGCTTTATCTTTTAGAATGTTAAGTACTTTATTATGAACATAGTATTGCTAGTGCTGTGTTAGTGTAGTATTCATAATCTGAGTATATTTCTCCATTTGTAAAACAGGACAAATATCCCTTCCAACCAATATAGTTTGTATAACTTAATGCAGTTACATTAATATTTTATCCAAGATCATGTATCAAGTGTGTGATAAATTTGAGGTTCAAATCCAGTCTTTCCAGCTGTGACTCCCAGGTGTCCATCCAGCCCAATATGGATAGTCAAGAAAACTATGAGTCCTGACAAAACAACACTATAGGCTTCACTCGGCCAGGTCTGATAAGACAAAGAGAACTACTGCTGTGCACAGGCAGCAGCTGAGCTCCACCACTTGTTGATCTCTGTTTATTGCTGTATTCACTACCCATTGCTGCTTTCAGGTGTTACCATATCATATCATGTGTAATAATCTGGCTAGAGAACCTGAAATACAAGTAGTCAGCCTAAACTACCATTACATTCTGTGTGACAGCCCTTTAATTACGTTCTCCTTAGGATGATTGGTTTCCATGATTTCATATGGTGTCTGGTCATGGGCACATTTTCCCAGCCATGTGAGAATACTCCTTGCAAGGGGCACTGCTTCTTATAATGGTAACATTCAGCTTTGGGAGACATTGGTTGATCTTCATGGATCCCCTAGGTTTTGTTCCTCAGAATACAGCATACAAATCCTGCATACTTTCATGTACCACACTCAAAATGTGATACTGATCCTACATCATCAAGAGGCAGGATAGCAAAGAGGAAAATGTGCTGTTCTAGATTCATACCCCTAGACTTAAAAATCCACTCTGTCAGCCTGGCACAGTGGCTGACGCCTATAATCCCAGCACTTTGGGAGGCCAAGGTGGGGGAATCATGGAGCCAGGAGTTCAAGACCAGCCTGGCCAACATGGTGAAACCCCATCTCTACTAAAAATACACAAAATTAGTTGGGCGTAGTGGCAGGCACCTGTAATCTCAGCTACTCGGGAGGCTGAGGCACAAGAATCATTTGAACCCAAGAGGCAGAGATTGCAGTGAAATAGATTGCACTGAAATCGCACTACTGTACTCCAGCTGGGGCAACCATGTGAGACTCTGTCTCAAAGAAAAAAAAAGAAAGCCTAAGAGTGACTCCACTTCTGTTATCATATAACAACTCTTGCCAAACTGAATTCAGATTAAGGATGGAGTGGGGGCAGGTATGACAAATATTTCTTTTTCAGGCTAAATTGCTACTTCAACTCTTTTTCCTATTGCTGTTAGATCATTTCACTTCCTAGAGAAATGGACATGTAGGTTGGTCACAGACCTGGACTCCAGATGCCAAGAATGGACTAGAATATGTAAAGGACATGTGATCTCTTTTCTCAAACCCTTTAATTTACATCTCTCAAGGCCTCGGCCTAGTTCACCACATCAATTGTGTGATTTGCGTTGACATCACCGTAGTCACATATAGCCCAAGAACTATCTTAGGTGTTCAGGCACTCCTAAATGATATGTGTTTACTTGCCAAGCCTCAAGACTAGCGTGCTTTATCTATTACTTCCTGTGTCTCTCCTGAATAAAGTGTTTCCATAGTAAGAATCTGCCATATATCTACCCTTGTATACTGTCCCTAATTTCCCCTTTTTAAGTTCTCATCAGGGGCATCACTTCTACCTGAGAGATGAGATAGATTAGACTAATGGAATTCTATGCACAGAATCCCATCTACTACAGTAGACATTTTCTCTGTTAGCCAAGCACTAGAGGAAGGTTTACCAGGTTCTCAATCCTAACAAAAAGACCTATGTTTGCCCCTTCAATTAACCCCCTGGAGAGCCTAGCACTGATTTGCTCTACACCCAGGTGCCAATAACAGCTGTGATAGGAGTCCTCTGTTGTTTTCTGAAAAGCCAAATTTCTGGGACATGATTACAAACTGTGGTCTGTATAAAACAAATAAACCTACAACAAGAAGAAAATCCCCGAGTTTAAGAAATGCTATATCATGGAACAGACTGTATAGAGTAGTGAGCTCCACATCACAGTCAGTTTGCAGGAGGTTACTATAAACTGCTGAAACACTGGGTGAGACGTCTTCAGTGACGGATCACAAGAAGATGAGGGAAAGCTTTTGAAGTAGAATGATAGCGAAGAGTGAAAGGAAAATTGAGGATATCTTTGAGACTGCCGCATGTGTTCTGGATGCCACAAACTCAGCCTTGTGCATTATTGCATAAAGGGCTGCAGAAAGCTTGAGGATCCAAACTGCCTCTTCCCAACTCACCTCCGATCCAGGATATTCCTCCCCTGGCTGCCCTGTGTAAATTTACCTTTCTTCAGGAGGCAGCCTCAGCTGATGTTTGCCCCATCCCTCCTCTTGCCAGCCTGGAAACTAACTGGAAATAACTTTCATGACCTTAAGAGTGCTTTTTTTAAAAATCTTCATTTACTTTTCTTCTCGATTAGCACTGCTAGAGATTTAATTATTAGTAATTGTTTCAAAAAACAGGATATTTGATTTTGTTGGCTGGTTTTTTTTAAAAAAAAAAAAAAAGTATATATTTTACTCAGTGTATTCATACTGAAAATGTCTTGGCTGAGATCAAATGTGATCTCCATCAAGGATCTGTTGCCAGTCCAGTGACTCTTTTTCTCTCTATTTTACCAAAACATCTCATACAACTGCCTGTTCCTTCATTTTTTGTTTTATTTTTGAAACATTATGGACATACTGGAAAACGCACAAATCCCAAGTGTTCCGTTAAATGAATAATTACAATGTAAACACATGAACACACCTATGTAGACACAAATCAAGATATACATACTTTTGCTCTCTGGCTGTTAAGGCAAATTGTTCAGAATGCTCTGTCCAAGCTCTCCTAAGACATAGTTCTAGCCCTGCACCTACCTTTGTTTTCGCATTCACATGCAGACCTGGAGGGCTAATCACTGAAAGTAGCTTTAAAAAGCCCAACCAGGCGCAGTGGCTCAGCCTGTAATCCTAGCATTTTGGAGGCCAAGGCAGGCGATTACCTGAGCTCAGGAGTTCAAGACCACCCTGGACAACATGGCAAAACCCCATCTCTACTAAAAATACAAAAAAGTAGCTGGGTGTGGTGGTAGGTGCCTGTAGTCCCAGCTACTCAGGAGGCTGAGGCAGGAGAATCACTTGGATCCATAAGGCAGAGGTTGCTGTGAGCCGAGATCACACCACTGCACTCCAACCTGTGTGACAGAATGGAGATGCCATCTCAAAAAAAAAACAAAAAAACAAATATAAAAATAAACAGTTGCTTAATGTCAGTAATTCATAATTTACAAAGCACAAGACCTGGGACAATTTTTCATTTCTATTAAAAAGAGTGGGGAGTACATAATTCAAGTTGAAATTGTCTTAAAGGTAAAATAAAGAATGCATAACTCATCTGAATGGAGCTTTTCCATTTATGACAACCGCGTGCCTCTTCCTATCTCCACTGTCCAACTAAGCATACACCCAGCCACCTCTATTGCCTAGCTTCTTTTCTTATACGTCTTGGTCCCAGAAAACTGTTACTCCACCAACTCTAGATTGGATTTACCCTTTCCTCTCTCTGCTTTGAAGCAAAGTAATCATGTGTCCATTCCGTCTCCACCTTTCTCATCCAAACATCATTTCCATAAGTTGTTGATATCAGCAGGTATACCACTAGACCTAGCAAGCTCTGTATAAGAGGTATAAGAGCTTATAACTTTCATTCTGGGGTGACCCAGCATTGACGTCAGGTCTTCAGCCCAACATCTGATCTCTATCAGCTCAACACCTGATTCCCAGATCAGTTACCTACATCCCTGGAGTTTTCTCTATTCAACTTTCACTGATGGGTTGATGTCCGGTAGTCCACATTTATTTTACTCAAAAGAAGAGGGATTTGTACAGGACTCTTCAAGAGGAACAGGAATAATGACACAAAATCAATGAACAATGGAGAGTCATGGAGAGTATTTTCTTTTCCAAAGACTTCCATTGGGAGCTCTCTTTCCCCTCTGGATACTCAATCATCCTGCCTTGTCCCTGGGCACCCACCTTCCCTTGGCCTCTACCTAGAGCTAAACACTGCAACTCCTCCAGAGACTGGTTTTTCTTTGTGCTCTGGCCCCTAGGG